GTTTTTTTTTCTGTTTCTGAGTTCTTTGCATGTACAAATCCATCTACCCTCGGAGCGGACATCCGGGTATGTTCACCACCTGGCACGATCATGGTGAAATTTAAGGCCGGAACTCCCAGAAAACTGTACTTCGGACAGTTGCTGAGACTCAACTTTAAGCTGTTTTCGCCAGGTCTTATTTAATTATATGATACAGTGGTGCGTGTCTTAGCAATGTATAACGTTCTATGACGTAACTCCCCCCCCCGAGGATATGACCTTTCTGTAATTAAGAACAGACCTTATTTTCAAATGACCGTCGATATCTCGCTGGGTATTCTAGAGTAACGTTTAGTTGTTTGTATGTCAATTTCACTATGACAACCCTGCTGATTCTAAAAAGATGGATGACCCCGTCATAATTTACATTGAAAATTACACCATGCAAAAATTGGTCCCTCAACAAAATCTACCCACATTTTATGTAAATTTGTATTCAGATAAATTTACTTTTAAGAAAGTTTTGGATGAAAAGTATAAACGAGTATTTTCTCCAGATTCGTGACATAATTGCGGCAGGGTATGAAATGGAGATGGTGCGATTGTAATTCTTGTATTACGTTTTGTTCTATTGGTCAGGAGAGAGCATGCACATTAGTTACTTTATATTTTACTGGTGGGCATATAGTCAACTATCTAACAATCACATAGTTTCACATTCCTGTTCGGATGCTACTACTCTTGCCAGATGGGAGATGCTTACAAACAGCTGTGTGAAGATTTATTGTCAGCGATGTAATTACAACACTGCTGCAAAAGTCACATTTGCCATATGTGAAGAAGTGATGATAACATTTTACAACCAAGATCAATGTAAACGTTGACCCCCTACAAAGAGTCCAAATGTAATATAAAATATTTAGGTGGTATGTTCAGACTTCAGAGATTTACATTCAACATGATGTAATTAAAACCACACAAAGGGGCAAAACATCAAGTCTGGCTTAACAAACCTATCTGAAGAAGCATTTAACTTTTTTATGAATGTTGAGGATAAATTATTGATGGCAGAAAATAAACTAAAAAGAATCCTTTGATTCAAGTATCTTCAACGATTTGATTGATGATCTACTTGGTGGTTGATATTTATTTTCTTCATGGGTTGCATTGTTCAACTATTGCAATATGAATTTTGATTCAGAAAACAGTGTCGATTTTGATGCCCAGCAGTTGAAAATCTTTTGTATTATTAGTTCTTTGTATGAAATCATGGTTGCAAAATCTTAACAAGGATAGGTATTTTGACAATATTCAGACGAAGGAAGAAACTGTCACATAGAAACAATTGTATTCTAAAAACAAGGCTGTCAGTTAAAAATTTACCACATATATTTTGAAAATGTTTTGCCAGGCATATAGTGTGAATGTCAGTAGCTCATTATATAGGTTTGGGCTACCTAACTCACAACGTAATTCCCAGGTCTCACAATATTCAAGCTTTTGTGTATATTCTGAATCTGATAGTGAAATTAACCTGAAAACAACAAAAGATCGGGCAGGAATTGTCTGTTGTCAATTGTCTGTTAAACTACGTACAAGAGAGTTTGCTACAGAAGATCGAGAGGTAGTTCTTTGAGGGAACTATGTTATCAAACGTTCTGTTGTTAGTTGGTTGAGTGGGTGAGTGAGCAGGATGTGCTTATTTTTTTTCGAACACCTGACATCACTTCATGGCTGTATGCCTTGGTGTCCATATGTCATTCTTGCACTGACTTGTCAGTGTTTGTGTCTCTTGTACAGCGTTGTTTGTCTATGGACTTGTACTTTTCCCAGTTAGACATATGATTTGGATGTTTGTTTGGTATGAATGTTATTTCTATTTGGCAAACATGTAAACATATGACGTCATAAAGCGGAGAATATAGGTGTTCCTTCTTTACCATCATCGAATTTACTATTTCTGTTATATAGTTCCGATGAAAAGTTGACATGGCAAGATGACAGTAGAAAATGTAACACTAATTGGCGGCAAAAACAAATCATCTGGCCCTCTCGCTGTCAACAAAATCTCGGCGGCCGTTTACAAAAAAGTACAACTATGGCCTCATATCATCTATGATTTTCTTGCTTTAATATATCTTAAAATGATACATTTATTAGTATTTTGTCTGTACCCACTCTCATATTGATAATTTAAGAGGTTAGTACTAAAGTGCTTTGTTACTAGGGAGCTGGTGGACTGGAGTTAATGATATCAGAACTGAAAGTCATTATGTTTATGCAGATGGCACTCCTCTTGTGTTTACCAATTGGAGGCAGTATCCGCAAGAACCAAGTGACGCAGATCACGAAGACTGTGCAACGACAACGTAAGTGGCACTTGTTTTTAACAACTGTTAATATTTGTCAATGTTATATGTAAACATATTAATATGGGAGTTTTTGCAGTCAATGCATCTGCACGTACGTATGTGTGTGTTTGTGGGTGCGCGCGTTTGTTCTATCAACGTTGTGACGACTTTCATTTAAGTTTACACAAACTGAGTGACAACCTTCCCGACCCGAATTCAGGTCGAGTTTGCGTAGCTTAGGGTTAGTATAGGTCAACTGAATGTGCCATGCCGATCCCCTTTACTAACCCTAGCATTTCTATGTTAAATCACAGGATGTATGATCTATTTCTACTTTGTTGCATTTTTATTTAATTGAGCAAAAATTGAAACTTAATTTAATTGAGTTTTATTAAATCACAATCTTATATAGAGTCGTTTTTGATAAAACTTGGTACATAGATGATGCCCTGGACTAATGCACAGAGATGATTACTTTTGGGTAAATATCCATGCACATCAATTACCGGATTTGCTAATGATTATAATGACCTAATTTGCAAGATAATTAGCTGT